GGCCGGCCGGAACCATGACCAGACCAGTCATTTTGAAATTGAAATAGGCTTTCCCCAAGAGTTTTTGCTGAAAAACCATCTCCTTCGTGCATGCATTTTAGGATTTGACTGATCTGGCAGGATATTTTTTTTTATTGAAAGTGAAATTCTCATTACGATGGGAATGGTCTGACCAGTCAGTCCTGACAAAATTTAATGGAAAGTACCCTTAGTCTATGGTATCAGCTCCAAAAAGTTCAGTTACTGTTAAACTGAATAACAAACACAGTGTCTCATAAAACATACCTCATGCAACTGTCTAAATTGTTTATCTCTCAGTATTCGGTTGTTCTGAAGCTGCTTTGTCTCTTCCTTCAAAAGTTGCTTTTCATTTTCAAGGAACGCTGGCAGTTGTGTGGCTTTTGCAAATGAGAGCTGTTCGTTTTCTGTGATAAAAACCAAAATAATAATTTTTAACGTATTCCTTCTATAGAAATAAGAGTGGGTAGAGTTCAGTTCGGTCATCCTTTTTTCGTGACATTTGATAACGCAGACATTTGGATAAGGATTTAGTTAGGATGTAGTTAGATAATTATTTACTTGTAAAAAAAATGTACGATATGTTCTGTTGCCTGACAGACCATTTCTTGCCAAAGGGTGGTTACATGTGCCCGTGACAACATTTTCTGTTTACACTCCCCCAGGCTTTTTTTTACTTGAAGAGCCCAAAGTATAAGAAATGCTGTTAGATTTGTCAAAAACTGAGCATTATCAGTAGTATTATACTGTCTATTAGGGCATACCAATTTGACAGGTCTGTTACATCACATACATGACTGTTTATGGCCCATGGCCAATGGCCCAACGATAAAATAGATATTATAATATTAGAAAATATAAAGCCACTGGCAAGCTATAAGCATCAAATCTTACCAACTTGTTTTGTTGGTTTGTGAAAACTTGCCACTGTTTCACACTTGCTCATCAATCTTGACTCCAGTTCAGGTATGATGTTCTGCTGAAATGACTTGATGCACAGAGACAGAGACAACTGGTTAAAATCTCAGCAGCTTTACTGTCAAACTCAGAAAACTGCGACCGAATGAAAATTTTCATGAATGTTGATTGTGTACTGGCCAAACACAATAAAGTTCAGGATATGCAAGCAAACCTCAAAACCACAAACAAATTACCGTTGCTGTTTGCGGTTTAGTTATCTCATGCCTTATTGGTTTATTTCTTGCAACACTATAACATTCCATAAATATTTCTGGTGTTCACGGTTTTGTGTGTTTCACAATAAAAACTTAAAGTAAAGTGGTAAAAAACAAACAAAGAATGAAGGAGGTGGCACAGTCATTGTACCAGCCACATTAGCATTAAGACATACAGAGGGTCTGTTTACATGAGCCAGGTTTGCCAAGTGATTTACAGAGGTAGATTGGTTAACCAAGACTGTCTTTCAGCCTGGTATTTACAAGACTAGCCAAAGCTTAGGGCCAGAACCAATTTCTGAAGCAACGGTCTCAGCTGTTTATATGACGCCCCTGCAAAAGGCCTTGAAGTGCACTGAACAAAACTTCCAGTCACCTTCTCCAGCATTTTAATTTTGGCTGCTTTATTTTCTTTTAACTTATTTAGTTCCATGGCTTGGTATTACTCTACACATGTTATAGAAAGAGAAAAATGAACTTATTAGTGACTCAGCACACTTGAAAAGAAACAAAATCCACTGCTTTCTTCTTGGCATCGTACAAATGATTAAAATAAATTCTCAGCTCTGTTAGCAACAATCCCGGCAATAAGAAACCATGATCTTTAATTGAGTTAGCTTTAAGTTAGTTGTCAGGTTTATTAAAGGACTTAACCCTTTAAGCGCCAATCATATCCACACACAAATTCACCAGACTGATCTCCCTGCATTTCCTTAAAGAATTGGTTGAGAGAATTTGATTAAAGATCAAAGCATTTTCTCTTCTGCATTCATTTTATTAATTCTCATAACTTTTCCTCTTGTTTGTGTCGAGTCAACTCCCTCTTGACGGACACCTCTATTACTATCAGATGGACACCTTGCTAAAATGGACAGCCAGAGTTGGTCCCTGCCTTTCTTTACTCCTTTTAGTTGGCTCTTAGACTGCATAGCAAGCGTTTTTGTTTGGTTTTGGAGCAAGGAAAGACCAAGGAACAGGATTTTTGGTTTTGGCCGCGTGAAAAATGGAATGAGAACCAAAAAATGAAAGAGGGGGAGGGGGAGGGGAAGGAAGGAAATGCTTGTTTAATTCCTTCCTTTCTTCCCCAGCCTCTCCCTGCTCTTTTACTCACACTATTTTTTGCCTGGTCTTTGACTCTTGTTGGTCATTCTTTGCTCCAAAACCACACGGAGATGCTCAGTACGCAGGCTAGTTGACTCTCTATAAGATGGACATCTCTCTAAGACCGACACATAGAGCCGGTCCCAAACGAGTCTGTCTTAGAGAGTCGACTGTATTGATATTGTCTGGAGAAAACTGACGTTGGTCACTCTTGGGAATTCAACATACGCAGTGTTCTCCTTATCCGGTGGTAACTGGTAAAATTAATACTGCCTGAAGCAACACTTCTTACCGCCTGCAACCAGTGCTTGAAGGTTTACTAAAATTAAACATTATGTAGTTTTAAAAAATACGCAAGTTGTGATCCTATCTGATCAAGGAAATAAATGAATAAATTATATGGAAAAGTACTTAAAGATACACCTGTACCTTTTCTTTTTAAGGGTCACACAGTTTGGAAAGAGAACTCTGAAGACAGAGTAAAATTATTGGGATCAAACATTTTAAATTGTTGTCTAAAGATAACAATGGCCGATTTACGTAAAATAGGTCTTAAAATGAGGGAATGACATTTCAAAGAACTTAGCTTCTCCAAGGGTGGGGCCATGCCCCTCACTCCACTACTCCCTCCCCTCCCCCAGGAAAGTGCTTCTCTGGGGCATTTTTTTTTTTTGCCTTACTGGCAATGAATAGTCCCTTACCTGCTGAGCTAAAATTTAGGGAGAACACTGCATACCTGATGTAAAGACTTCCTTTGACATTCACCAGTGAGGTGTTCAGCTTTAAGCCCAAGAAACGTGGCAGCCTGGTCTCCTCCTTCAGGATGGAAATCAAGGTAATTAACTGCTTCAGCCTGAGCCAGGGACTCCTTCAAAGCTTCATACAGCTAAGTGAGAAATGAAAACACTCTTGTAACAGAGCTGCTGATTATTATTTTTTTACGATAACCGAGCAATGTCTCACAGTTTGATGGGATGATAGCTATGACCAATGAGAGCACAGACCATGGAAATGATGTACCGGTGGTGCAATTTGTTCTTCTCAGATTTCTCTTGTGTATTATTCATTGAAAAAATTCAGCAAAAATGGACGTCAAAAACTGTCAATTGTTGTTCTTGTAAAAAAGAAATCAACAACTGGGCCGGGCTGTTAAAGGCCGGGTTGTTCAAAGCCGGGTTAACATAACCCAGGGTTAGTACAAAATTTGAATTTGGATATGAAAGCTTAAAAAGCAAATTCAGTTGAATTCTTTTTGTCTACAATTTGATGATTAGTTACTCTAAGTAGAATAGAGAAAATTTTTTGAGAAAATGCTTTTGATGAAAAGAAAAAGAGACCTGGGTTAAAATTTAACCCTGGGTTAGCGCTAACCGGCCTTCGAACAACTTGGCCCTCTACAATAATTTTTCCATGGTTTATATTCGTATTGACCATACATGTAGAAAAGATGTCAAAATGTTCAAAACTTTGCACTTGAGTTTGGTCAATGAGAGTTCGAACCATATTGTTAAATCCACTGGAAAGAGATTATCTGTCTGAGGGATAGTGTTATTCACCTTTTGAATATCTAAGGCCAGCATCTTATTTTGCTTCATAACATTCACTGTAATCACTGCACAGCCAAACAGAATGTCTTACAATCTTTTGTCAGGAAATGTCAAAAGAGCACTGTCAAACTTTCCCAAACATACACTACTCATGGTCAGTCTATCAAACAGTTTATGATGAGTGCTAAAAAGAATTTGAAAGGTTTACAGTACTTGTGGACCAGATGTGTGTGGGTGCAATAAAATAAGTCACTCCATGCAAGGTAATCCAAGACAGTCTTAGATTTTGGATTCCATACCGTAGATTCCGGATTCCAGGCACTGGGTTCCAGATTCTTTATCAGCGGAACTTGGATTCTGGATTTCATTTGGGGGATTCCGGATTCCTTGAGCATGATTCTGGATTCCAAAGCCCAGGATTGTAAAATTATTCCACAATCAAAAATTTCCTAGATTGTGGATTCCACAAGCGAACATTTTACAGATCAAGAATCTGGATTCCCTTACATGCAATGAAACAAGACTGACCTGTGAAGTGGTTGAACCAGGATGAATGTCCTGCTTCTTCATGTCATACTCCATGAGCAGTTCCTTCAGTTCTGAGTAAAGTGCTAAGAGCTGTAAGTACTTAAGCTTTTGCTGTTTCAGTGCATCTTCAGCCTAGAAATGGCATTTAAATAGTCAGTGCATAAACAGATGTAAAAGAAATCAATGCTGCATGTTTGGCAGCAACTGACCCAAAAACCCCAGGGGCATCACCTCCCATTTTGGACTATACTTAGGGAATTACTGATTACAGAAAGAGCAAGTGTAGCAGCACCCGTGTTTTGCTTTACCACCATTTTTATGCAAGGCAAGCATCATAAATATTGGCCCTTGAGTGTTAGGTTTTGTTAGTTATCAACCACACCGTCTGACTGTAGAGCCCAGGAAGGGGTAAGTTTGTACTTTTCTTTACACTTTTTTTCCAGCTTTTCTGTATTCTAACTTTTTTACTAAATTTGTTATCCTTCAGAGATTTAGAGATCAGTTCAGCATGTGGGGAAATGTAATTAAAACTGTCCAATCTGTTAAAGCCAAATGGGTCTTCTTGTGGTGTATTTTGGACTTTGGAACAGTACTGGCTTCTCCCGCCTTTGGGGGGGAGGAGCTTTAATACATGTATTCTCATAACCTCCTTTATATCAGCACATATATATAGGGATATAACTTACTACAGTCGACTTTCTCTTAACAGACACCTCTATAAGACGGACACCTCTGTAAAACGGACACTTAGAGTTGGTCCCTGCCTTTCTTTACTCCCTTTATTTGACTCTCTATGAGACAGACACCTCTCTCAGACAGACACTTACTGCCGGTCCCAAAGGTATCCATCTTAGAGAGAGTTGACTGTAGTAGGTTTGAGTATTATAAATCCCCTCCCCATAAATAGAGAAAGACAGAAAAATGATTGATAGTATCTAGCATCCAAGAATAAGGAAAAGAAATGTCCAAAACACAAGCCTGCTTCAAAGCGATTATATCACTAACCTGCATCAAGTCCTTGTGAACAGTAAGTGACATGCCTGTGTTTGTAAGGTGTCTTGTCAAGGATGTCAACAGTTTAGCAAATTCTGGGTTTTGCTTTACATTTGAAGAAGTCAGATGAACAGGCAAACTGGAGTTCACTGAAATATCAGCAAAGCAAAGAAAACAGATGGTCTAGTTATAATAGATTTAGAACTATTGCTTCTATCATTGGCCATCCCCTGGGGGAGGGGACCCTGGGCAAATATAACTTTGTACAGGGACTTACAGGTATAGCGGGATTTGAAATATTATTTTACCCTGGAGGTAGGGGAAATTAGGTAGGGTTGGTTTACCATATCCTTGCACCAAGGGGAAAACCAAGACCTTTGTATAAAGAACTTTGGTCAATTTCAAGTTGTCTTAAATCAGGGGCATATATAGACCATTTGTCACATGGTGAATATAATGGTTGGCTCCACAGACTGTGTAATCAAACGACAAGGTATTGTCATGCAAATCCATTTCTGTCAGGTTATTTCTTGTATATGCTTCTTCTAATTATCATGTGAGTTGGGTCATTATAATGCAATCTCAAATTTACTGTGTTTTCATGTTCTAGCATATGATACGCCTCTATAAGGGGGAGTTCTTAACATTGATTGCTCTGTGCTGCCATCAAGGAAGGGAAAATTAAGCACTTTTACAGGGTCCTTTACAAAGTTCCCTCCCTTGCCTGGGGTCCGTCCCAGGGGATGGCTGATGATAGGCGCATAAGTATCCATCAAGCAAAATATCTTCAGCAAAATGCTGAACCTTATAACCAAAAAAGGTATTGTAGTATCATTCCCAATACGTTACAGGTCAAAATTGATTTCAGGTTAATTTTCATTTAACCTAGGTTGATTCTCAATTCCAATGTCTCCTAGCCCTAGAAGACAAAGGAAATTGAGAGTCAACCTACAATACTTGTCACAAATTGTTGAAACAGGAGCCATTTGTCTTGAATTTTCTCCAAATTTCTTACATTCACTCCTGACACCATCATTCTCAGTCAAATGTGCGACTCTCCTTCCCCAATGTTGAGCCACGCATATTTTGGAGCACTGAGACGACTGTAATACCCAAATCAACATTGCGGAAGGGGAAAATCACACAAGTGTTTCAAGATTTGTGACGAGTATTGTAGGTTAACTTTTTTTTAGTAAACCTGAAATCAACTTTGACCTCTGACATATACAAGAAACCCAAACAGTTTTTGAGAAGGTCAAGGATTTGGGCAGACAGTTGTAGAAGGGGAAATGCACAAATGCACAAGTGATCCAGGGAAAGTCCAACTCTTTCGGTAGGTCTCCTGCAGCCCTTGCCGGGGGTAAAGGATATACTTGCTTACATCTGTACGTACACACAGTGTATAAAGAACTTTTACTCTCAGTCTCTTAATCAAGAATGGATCACCCAGACCGGTATCCTGATCAGATGCAAATGGATACAAATCTATCGTTCTACTGTTTAGCATAGTCCTACTAGTTAAATCACCTTAGAATGAATGTTTTAATAAAGCATCAGTAAAATAATGCTTTATAGGTGGTCATCGTCGCCATGCTGGTGGACGGTAAGCAAAAGATCGCTCATTAGCTCGCTTTGTTTGTGCACCAGCATTTGTTCATTTCACCATTGTTATTTGTGTCTCCCAAGGATGCACGAAAACCACCTATTAAAATAGAAGAGATCACTCACGTTTATCTGCTTTTTCCTCCACTGATATCATCCTTATCTTTGAGAGTGTTCCATATAATGCGTAATATTTACTTTGAAGTTGTCGTTAATAGCTGTATGCAAGTAGCTAGAGGATAAGGAAATCAACCAAATACCAACGTGCTGACGTCTCCATTCTTCCAATCTGCCGCCATTTTTTGTACCCACCAAAGTGAGGCCAGCGGTAATAGTTAATTTTTGAAAGAACCATATCTTACAAGCACGTTGATTGGCTAATATTTTTGCTAGCCAATAAGAGTTCATTTTGTATTGCTCCAAATACGTATGTTTCCTCGTTTACAATCGATGAAATAATACATGTATGCTACCGCTGTATTGAAACAGATCAGAGTTGTGTTAGAACTTCCTTTTCATACAAGGTAAGATTCTTGCTGGTTTGAAATCTGTTCCAAAGAAATGCTACTTATATAATCGTGAAATATCGGCCCTCTCCCTTAAAGTTACAAGCCCAACCAATTTTACTACTATACCATCCGGGGGCTCCCAGCTGCCGAAAAAGATAATAATAACAATTCAGCTGGCTTTAGAACACTTGCTCTGAAGACTCTTGATTTTCCGTTGTCTGTTTTGTTGACATAAGGTTGCTGAATATTCTTTAAGCTTATGTTGAACCTGACATTTGAACTAAATTCATACCCAAAAACTACCCAAATTTTTCTCTTGATCAATACATGTAAGCTTCCTGAAGCTTGTAGATTTTAATTTTAAGTCAACGTTGCGCGTTTAGCGATTTGTTTCCGGTTGTGATCAGAAAAGCGTTTCTCGTTTGTATGTTTATAGTTGTTGACAAATTGTGTGTCTGTTCTTAAGAAGGTTGCAATATATTTTTCCATTGAAGGATTAATCCCTGAACGCTGCCGCAGATAATTTTATAGCAACGGTCAACCTACCCTGTAAAAATCGTCTAAATTTAGTAAGGCACGATTTGATGGGAATTATTGAATTGATAATCTTATAAATGTCACGCGCCATCAACCGTGCAGTTTTTTAAAAATGATTTATTTAACCCTGGTTATGATGTCATCAAGTAAACATTAGCCAGAGTATATCTAACCACTTTATTTAGATATAGTATATGAGGTCATAGTGCTTTACACTCTTGTTTTTTATAAGAATGTTGTTTTTCCGGCCCAGGCTGAATATTCTTATTTTTCTGCCGATTTTAGGCTGAAAATATTCTTGTATTATTCTTAAATTATAGCTTTTAGAATTTATTGGGGTATATGTACATGTATTACATGTACCGTTCATCGAACTGTCATTAGCGTTGAACATTTTTGCTATAGCTAGTGCAGGTTTTTTCGTTTTGTTGGCTAGTTTCGCCGTTCAGAGAGAGGAATAATTTTATACGGTTAAGTTAAAAACATAAAATTGTATTGTATTTACAGATGTTTCAACACACAAAATTATATCTATCCTTTTTAAAATCTCAGCCTCGGCTTTATTCTTAAAATATTCTTAAAATTTCGCAAATTTCAGCCTCGATATTCTTATAATACATATTCTTATAAAAAAAAAAAAAGAGTGTAGTGGATAATACAATGCTGAAATACATTGTAAAATGAACAAGTTCAAGTAATGGTTGACTCCCAGGACCTGTCGTGGAATCATCATTCAGAGTGATAGGAATCTGTTGTGATTTATTATAGCAAATAAATATAAACTTGAGTTTCTGTTACTATTATTATTGGCTCAGCTCTATCAATTTTAAATCCAAATTCTGCTGTATAACAGTGACCAAATCTGAGGGGTATAGAATGGTTCCTTGAAAAACGTGGGTCTTGGAAAATTTTGGCCTAATCTCGAAAGCAATTAAGTCACTTTGTTGGGTGATTTTGCGTCTCGATCAGAGTCTCTAACTTGCTCAGTCTCAGGCTTGAATTTTGAAACTTGGGTCTTGCAATATCTCAAATTTACCATTCTACAGCAATGTTCAGGTGGGTGTATACCCCTAAACCTAGCAAAGTGTCTTCAAATGTCATGTAACATAAATAGTTTCTAGTGCAACAACTTCAGCTGGTGACACTATATAACAAAAACAGCAATGAAAGCTATAAGCATAGTTTGACATCTTACAAGTGTTTTTGTTGTGTTCATGGTAGGTAAACTGTTTACCACATTTGCTAAACTGCAGAGAAGCAATTGGTCATGGCTGACAATTTTAGGTTGAATTCAGGAACACTGGATGTAGAGTATATTAAAAGCTTACCAGGTTTATTGAAAGTTGCTGAAATTGTAAGTATCAAAACTTATGTCCTAAAAAACACAATAATACTGTTTACATCACTGATGTAACAGTTTTGAAAAAACTGCTATAATGCCATTTTACAGCAGATCATAGGGTCAAGCAAGAAGCAAGACAAGACACCTGCATTCATCTAGATTTTAATGATTATGTATAGTTGGCAGAAGCTATGCACTTGAGTGCTCTGCTTCTCGGGAGTCTGAAAAATTATGCTAAAAATACAGTTGAACCTTCGCTTAGCAGTCACCCTTAGGAATACAGGCAATTGGTCGCTTAATGGAGGTTAGCCACTTAGTAGAGGTTCGTCATAATTAAGGCATAATTTTTAGCAGAAATATCACTTTGTTTTGGAACAAACAGACGATGGGTTCAGCATTACTGGTCCACAATCAGATGTCACCTTCTATATATCTTGCTCTGTATTTTCCTTCATTATATTTTCAAAATAAAGCCATTTAAACTAATTGTATCAAGTGCTTAATGGCGACTTAATAAAGTTGACAACAATAGTAGAATTTTTTTTAGGATGGCCAGTCGGTGGCTAGCTGCGACCACCTTGATGGAGATGCTTGCTTATATAGTAGAGGGCTAATTATTGTACAATATTATTCCTTTCTACAAAGTTTTCAGGACTTTGATTACTGGTTGTTTTATAGAGGGTGGCTGCTAAATGGATCAGGTTCAACAGTAACTGTCATGTATAACCAGCAGTGATTCTGTTATCTTTCAGCTTTGTCTCCTTATTGCTTTTGCCTCACTTTCTGGATTTACTTTACACTTCAAAGATGAGTTGTATGGTGGCAGATTTGATTTCTTTTACTTCGCGACTATTACACCATGGTTACTGGTCATCATAATTTATGTACTTTTTGCGTTGAGGCTGCATGAGAGACTTGCCAATATCAACTGGGACTTTGTTGTAAGTACAAGTGAGATTAAAAGTTTCATTTGGTCATGTCTTTATTATGAAAAAATACATGCTAAACTATCAACTCAAATTTCACTTGACCAAGCCAAAAAACAGTAAGAATTAAAAAGCTTAGTGAGTCAACACCTTATTAAAAATAGTTTGTATTTGAATACTTTTTGTTATTAAAATACATGGCATTTGTACATTAATTTTAAAACTTAATGAATGGTCATATGTTTCCAACAGATGACCATTTTCTCCCCTGTCGTGGCATTTTTGTTACTTGTTTCTTCCGCACTTGTCCTGGATGCCGCCATTTATTTTAGACGAAATGAAAAGGAGTTCAAGGATGGAGTTTTCGTGATTTGTGAAAAAGAACCTTGTGGCAATGTTGAAGCAGCTGGAGTAAGTATCATTTTTATAGCACTGCTGTCACCAAGTTTTCAAGTTGCTGGCTAAAATTTCACAAGAACTGGTGTAGGTTGGGAATAAAAAAGCTAAGGATAATTTCTTTTTGTTCTATAGTCCTTCTCTCAGTTCTTATGAAAAGAGCCAGGCGTTACCTTCATAGTAGCCAGGGGTGTTCCCCAGTGCCACCCCCCCCCCCCCTTTAATGACAGCCCTGGATATTACAACATGTACAGCTGTAGGTGACTCTATCTTAATNTGTGAATGTACTGCGCAAAAATTAACAAAAATTGTGGTATGTTTGGAAAAAAAAAACTAAGGATAATTTTTTTTTTTTCTCATGGCCCTCTCTCATTTTTTTTTAAAAAGGGCAGGCGCTTCCCCTCATGTAGCCAGGGGTGTTCCCCAGTGCCCCCCCCCCCCCCCCCTTTAATGACAGCCCTGGATATTACAACATGTACAGCTGTAGGTGACTCTATCTTAATGCAAACCTTCTTAAACCTAGCCGGCGAAAACATCCGTTTCTTCTTGCTCTTCGCCGCTGGGGACGTTTCGCGCGGAGGAACGTCTGCGACTCAGCAACAGAAATTCCATACTGATGACGCCAATCAATGTTTACATAATGAATCTGGTAGTCATGGGTTTCCAAATATAAATTTGTCAAATTTAACTTGTCTTCTGGTTGTGATAAGTGCTGATAAGTGTTTTGCTTATCTGCCAACAAGCTCCAGTAAAACTCAATTGCTTCTTCTAGAGACTATATTCCACAAATATTGACTGTTTTTTTAGAGATTCTTCATGTTTACATTTGACCTTTGTGGCCTTTTGTCTTTTGTCTCTCATTGGTAAACAATAGCTTAAACAATGTAACTACTCTGTTGACCAATCAGCTCTTCTGACTGGATTCCAGACAGATTTTACATCATCAGTATGGAATTTCTGTCGCTGAGTCGCAGACGTTCTTCCGCGCGAAATGTCCCTAACGGCAAAGAGCGAGGAGAAACAGATGTTTTTGCAGGCTATCTTAAACCTTTCACTGCCAAATTTCGACCAAATTTCGAAATTTCATTTTGTGAAATTTTGAAAAACAAACAGCACCTTGTGTAAGTACAGGCAGAGAGCTTTCATTTGAATGGTCACATCATAGGATTTGGTCTGCAGACTCGAAAGTTATAGTCACCTTACAAAACTCCATCAGGCACTCTGGCAGTGAAAGGGTTAAATCAGACACCTCTGTTGCTCCCTGCTGTTACTCCCTTTTATTCTTCAGTCATTCTCTTTGACTTCTTTGACTCTTTGTAAGATGGGCATTTTTCTAAAACAGGCACATAGAGACCATGAGTTGCGGCCTCCTGCTCTTTAACCATTTTCTTTTACTCTCTGTAAGATGTCATAAACGAACTATATAACAGAAAAAATGTTAAGGAAGCCCTAAGAAACGAGGAGACTTAAACAGCACAGGCTGCCTTTGACGTAATGTTAAATCGCTAGAGAAATGGAGTGGTGGTAGTGTCAAGATACCGTATATCCTCTATTAAGCCCCCCGGGGGGCTTATTTATTTCAAGCCCATTTGAGGGGGGCTTAATAGAGACGGGGGGCTTATTTTTGAGGGGGGGCTTATTTAATTTAAAAACGACAATTGGTATCAGTTCTTCATAAAGAACTAGATTGCAAAGTGGAAAAGCTCAAGTACAAGAAGTTTTAGGTCATGCAGCTGAGGATCAGAATCAAATCCAATCTTCCAGTTGGTAAATAAACCATCCAGGATCAGTCCACACGAAGTTTTACAGTCGTGGTTGATTGATACAGTCTAGGGGGGGGCTTATGAACTTTCTTCCCCTGAAAAGGGGGGGTGGCTTATTAGAGTTAGAGGGAGGGGGCTTATTTGAGAGGGAGGCTTAATAGAGAATTTACGGTAGGTGAAATAACAAAATAGTGATAATAAGCAAGACAGAGAAGAAACTGAAAAAAGGGAAAGAGAAAAAGTAAACAAAAAAGCGAAACAGAGAAGGGTAGAAATAATTATGTTTGTAAGAGGGGTTTTCTCTGTATTCAACAGTTGCTCTTTGGAGTAAATTTTATAAAAAAAAGTTACAAAGAAATATTCAACACCAACAAATTTCTTGAAAGTTTCACAGAGGGTTCAGAACCCATGCAGATCCCTTCGTCAGTGAAGTTTGCTGTTATTTGCCGCCTCCTTTGTAAGCATCACTGATAAAGGTATCCGGACAGGTTCTGAAAGATCTGCGTAACTTTTAAGAAATTTGTTGCTATTGATTTTGATTTTGTATAAAATATACCCAAAGGACATTTGTTTGATTTTGAATAGTCCAACAGCTGAATCTTCATTCTTTCTTTAACCCTTTAAGCCCCAAGATCAACATGCACATTCTCCAGACTGGCCTGCACACATTTCTTCAAAATTGGTTGAGAGAATTTGTTAAAAGATCAAAGCATATTCCCTTTTAATAAGCAATCATTTTATTAATTCTCATAATCTTTACTCTTGTTGATCTGCTGATGTTGTTAGGAGAAAATCGGTGTCGGTCACTCTAGTGACTTCAATGGTTAACAAAAAATAATGATTTTCTTTCTCTAGTCCTTTGGTGTCCTTTCCATGGTACTGTTTGCGGTGGACACTTTCCTGTATTTCATGAAGAACAGGAACACGGGCTCAGCAAAGCCTCCACCGGGATATGATGGAGAAAACATTGACGAAGTGTCAGAGACTACGGAAAAACCAGCGTATTAATTTAAGATGGTTATACAAGTCTGTTTCCTTTGATAATTTATATAAAACTATTGTGGTTTTACTTTTTGAGAATTGTAGGTTCATGTCACCTGAATACAGAGTCCACGATGAAACGTGATCGTCCTTTTATTTACAAATGTAGAAAGTTGTTATTCTTGTGACAAGTAATCCAGAATACAGGAAAGTTTTTCTTGTGAAATCTGGAATCCAAGCTAATGATTGGAATCTAGAATCCAGGTACTACATTCTGGAATCCACGGTGTAAAATCAAAAATCCACAGCATGGAATCCAGCATCCAAAAGTGTCTTGGATTACCTTACTTAAGACGATTTGTGAAGCTTATTGTTCCTCTTTTGTTAATATTTGAACCTTGATAGGTTGAATTCAGGAACACTGGATGTAGAGTATATTAAAAGCTTACCAGGTTTATTGAAAGTTGCTGAAATTGTAAGTATCAAAACTTATGTCCTAAAAAACACAATAATACTGTTTACATCACTGATGTAACAGTTTTGAAAAAACTGCTATAATGCCATTTTACAGCAGATCATAGGGTCAAGCAAGAAGCAAGACAAGACACCTGCATTCATCTAGATTTTAATGATTATGTATAGTTGGCAGAAGCTATGCACTTGAGTGCTCTGCTTCTCGGGAGTCTGAAAAATTATGCTAAAAATACAGTTGAACCTTCGCTTAGCAGTCACCCTTAGGAATACAGGCAATTGGTCGCTTAATGGAGGTTAGCCACTTAGTAGAGGTTCGTCATAATTAAGGCATAATTTTTAGCAGAAATATCACTTTGTTTTGGAACAAACAGACGATGGGTTCAGCATTACTGGTCCACAATCAGATGTCACCTTCTATATATCTTGCTCTGTATTTTCCTTCATTATATTTTCAAAATAAAGCCATTTAAACTAATTGTATCAAGTGCTTAATGGCGACTTAATAAAGTTGACAACAATAGTAGAATTTTTTTTAGGATGGCCAGTCGGTGGCTAGCTGCGACCACCTTGATGGAGATGCTTGCTTATATAGTAGAGGGCTAATTATTGTACAATATTATTCCTTTCTACAAAGTTTTCAGGACTTTGATTACTGGTTGTTTTATAGAGGGTGGCTGCTAAATGGATCAGGTTCAACAGTAACTGTCATGTATAACCAGCAGTGATTCTGTTATCTTTCAGCTTTGTCTCCTTATTGCTTTTGCCTCACTTTCTGGATTTACTTTACACTTCAAAGATGAGTTGTATGGTGGCAGATTTGATTTCTTTTACTTCGCGACTATTACACCATGGTTACTGGTCATCATAATTTATGTACTTTTTGCGTTGAGGCTGCATGAGAGACTTGCCAATATCAACTGGGACTTTGTTGTAAGTACAAGTGAGATTAAAAGTTTCATTTGGTCATGTCTTTATTATGAAAAAATACATGCTAAACTATCAACTCAAATTTCACTTGACCAAGCCAAAAAACAGTAAGAATTAAAAAGCTTAGTGAGTCAACACCTTATTAAAAATAGTTTGTATTTGAATACTTTTTGTTATTAAAATACATGGCATTTGTACATTAATTTTAAAACTTAATGAATGGTCATATGTTTCCAACAGATGACCATTTTCTCCCCTGTCGTGGCATTTTTGTTACTTGTTTCTTCCGCACTTGTCCTGGATGCCGCCATTTATTTTAGACGAAATGAAAAGGAGTTCAAGGATGGAGTTTTCGTGATTTGTGAAAAAGAACCTTGTGGCAATGTTGAAGCAGCTGGAGTAAGTATCATTTTTATAGCACTGCTGTCACCAAGTTTTCAAGTTGCTGGCTAAAATTTCACAAGAACTGGTGTAGGTTGGGAATAAAAAAGCTAAGGATAATTTCTTTTTGTTCTATAGTCCTTCTCTCAGTTCTTATGAAAAGAGCCAGGCGTTACCTTCATAGTAGCCAGGGGTGTTCCCCAGTGCCACCCCCCCCCCCCCCCCC